AATGAAACATTTCAACTGAAGAATGTCCAAGCATTTTGTTTAGGTCAAATGAAACATCTCGACCTTTCCAAACACGCTGTTCCCCGAGCAGCTGAATTAATGAAGCCTGATTTCTAATGACTTTTTCCCTTCGTTCTGCTTCCCCATCCCCCTGCCCTGGCATGATGTGGGTTCTCTGACGGCTAATAAATGGGAAGGACATATCAACCTTTTCTTCAACAGGAGCACTAACAGTATCTCTCATGCCTGACCGCCAATTTTCAGAAAACCTGTAGGACCTCATCCCTAAGGACACTATGCCCATGCCAACCTGGGAGGGAGAAACTGGTCCATGTATTCCAAAGTTATTAAGGGTAGAAAAATGGGCATATATGCACGCAGGCCAGTAGCTAGGTAGCACAAGAATAAAAAGATCCAATTTTTTTTTTTTTCCCCCAAAATGTCAGTGTTTCCATTTTTATCATTGTGCAGGTCTAAACCAAATGCCAAAATATCAGAATTGCCCACTGACTAGAAACTCTAGTCTTAACTGTGTTTCAAGAGCTGTGCTGCATCCCCTTTTTCACAGGATGTTGAGCAAACCCCCTAATATTATTGGCATCGTTGCTCTGGTCTGTGTTGAAGTAACTAAAGAGCATTTAAAAATCTGTGGGGACAAATATGCTCTGCTTCACTGCAGAGGCATGTAACAGAGATTTGTCCTCCTTCTCTCATGAGCCTCCCTCACACAGAGCAGCACTCACACAAATCCCCACCCAGCACCAGTTTCTTCTTGGACTTGTTGTGTCTTTCTGTGGGAGCCAAAAAGATCCGGTGGCCAAGTGCAAAGCCGGGGCTTTTGCCCCATCAGCAGCACCCTGCTGCAAGACTACTGGTGTCACTACCCTCTGTCTCACAACGCAATGCTGGAGAAAATGACATGGGGAGGGAGGCAGAGGATGCAGAACCTCTGCTGGAATCGGGGCTGCTCTCAGCCCTGGCTGTGATTTGGAAACAATCACAACCCCTGCAACAGGGAAGAGCCGGGTGCTCACTGTTCAGCAGCTTATTCTGGGCCAGTCATGGCTCCCAGAACATGTACACACAGCTTTCCACAAACCTCCTCCAGGCATCTACGCACTGCTTGGAGCACAGTTGCAGATTTTTCTACATGGGAAAGCTAAGCCTACTATAACGTAAGGCATGAAAATAAAAGGTTCTTATGGAGTCCTTATTGCGGCTATACCCACTGTGAAACACAAGGAAATTACAACACTTAGTCCAGGGAACACAGTCATATTGTCTACCACCTGAGGCCTCACCTGCCACTCTCATGTTTGGAGACATGATCAGTCCCAGCCAGAGAGCGGGATGTGAAATGGGATGTGGGCGCTGCACTCCATTAGTTGAAATATAACCAAAGCCTCCTTTCAAGCTATAGGGTTATATTTTCATACTGTGTGCATAAGGACAAATAAAGGGCTGTGTTTTTCTGTCCTAGATACAAAGCAGTCAAGTCTCCAGAGGCTTACCTATGGCTCTCCTTTGTGAAGCCTGAGTTAGGCCAGAAGATCGTGCCAGACTGGGCATTTCTGTGGTCCCCGTGACAGAGGCAGGATGAGGTAAACCCACAAAGGACATGTCTGAAGAATACGTTGACCCATCTGCTGTGGAGTTTGGAGTGGTGGAGCCTGTGACCGATAGCTCAGAAGACAGCTGGGAGGATATCATCTCTGTGCTGGATGAAAAAATGACCCTTTAGTAATTTGTCAAGAAAATGATCTTTAAAACCAGACCAGCATACACTGGTCTCTTTGTCTACTAAGTAAATAAGTGAAAACAGGATCTTATATGGGGACAAATCGTATCAGAGAATGATATCCCAACGTCTTCCTCATTTTAAAGTGGACACACTCCTAGCTAAGCAATACTGCATCGCGATACAGCCAACAAAGCTATCTTCAGCTCGGAGCAATATGCTTGTATCCTCTAATGTGTCTGTACGCTGAGTTGACTATTTGTCACATCCTGCCATCTGAGCAGGTCCGTATCTGTGATGAGATCTTTGCATTCTTGTAGGCTACCAAAGCTGCCAGATTGTGGTGGCTTTTGGCTGAAATCTGTAACTCTAATTCTCTTCTGCATGCCACCATGGGCAGGAGCAGACAAGAGTTGAGCATGTAGTGCCTGCTCCCTGGGCCACATGAACCTAAGCCAGTTCCCGTCTGGAAGCCACCTTGCCAAGTCAGCACAGCACCGCATCCTAACTAATATACTCGCTTATCATAACACAGCTATGTAGGTTTTGGACCAGAGTTGGCTTATATCCATCCTGCTGGGAGCACAGACAGAGGGATTTGGATTTGTCTGCACTTTTTTTTAACCTAGACATGCTTCTAGGTGCCAAGTGTGTGGACTGCCCCCTTAGAAGGATGACTAGACAGTGGTTCGAGACGCTCCCGATAATTTGCAGCATAGCTAGCCCACAGGGCCATGGGGTTTGTAAACATGTTCCACCCCAATCTTACAGGAATTGCTGAGTTCCCCATATTAAGTCCTTCAGAAGAAAGTCTTTGTCCTTCTCTTGAAGTTAAATAATTATGTGGTTCATTTTATGCCATTCAGGGGACCTTGCAGAATTCCTTACTGTGGCACTGAGAGTTGCTGCTGCAGAGTCAGGACAGCAAGAGAAGTTCAGGGAAGGGAGGAGATGAAGCATGGTGTTGTCCCTCATCCAGCCTTGCCTCATGGGACAGCATGCGGGGGCTCTTCCAACAGCCTAAAGAGCTGCATGCCTTGTGAGGACAGTATGCTGCCCAAGCAAGAGTTACTATTCTCTGAAGCGTAATTTCTCTGTTCCGCTCAAGGCATCAGTCCTTTGCATCACCTCTCTAATGGGCTATGCCATTGCAACTCCATGAGCCCTATGTGGCCATTGAAAACATGAAGGCATTTAACTATCACAGACAATTAAGTTAACTTATGCACGTTTTTAAGGAACACGTGATTAAAGACAACGTGCCTGTAAATGCAGAGGCACCCCTCTGCACACATACAGCAACCAGCACTCTCAGGACTTCCCTGGATCTACACTATGAAACAGGATAGCAGAAAAAGTGCCACAGTTCATATGATACTGACACGTGTAGGACCTTTTTTAATTGGAAAACTCAAAGCTTAGCAGCATCTGTTGAAAACCTCAAAGGAAGAAAAAGTGTGTGTGTATTCATCCTTGTAAATATTCCCAAGAACACTATTTTTGGTCATGGCAACACAGCTGAGGCTGACCGTATACAAGCTGGCAGCTTTTAGGCCACATTGGCAGGAAAAGAGTTTCCTTCCCAAGCATCTGGCTTTCATCTGGGCGGATACACTTGGTCAGGCCGTTTATTTTATGAACTTCACCTGCATGTATGTACCTCTGCCTCTCTGTCTGTGTGGGTGGGTAGGGCTGAGCATTTGCTGTACATTGAAGAATTTCAAAATGAACTTAATTACCTCCTGCTTCCAGCTACCGTGGTACAAGGCCAGAGCAATTTAATAACTTAGTGAAATTACTTGTGGGTTTATACAGGTGTCAGTGCAAGCACAGCTGAGCCCAGAGCAAGTCTCTTCTAAGCGCCAGCTCATAGAAAACATCCACAGAGACTGGCAACCTGATTCTAATACCTAACAAAAACCCTGCTTGTGCAATGGATGTCATCCACCAGCATCGTGCATTAAGCTGTATTACGAATTCTAAGATACGGATAAATTTGTTGTGGTCTTTATACTGGATAGAACAAGAGGATGTTAAAGTGTCCACCCCACCCTACCATTGCTTAGAGTACAAAGCTCAATGCCCGCACTACGTGTTGTGATTAAACAGAGGAGTGGACTAAAGACTCCCTGAGTTAGATGAGGCAGCTGATGACAGCAGTAGTACTGGGAATGACACATCACAACCAAAACCACTGAAATTTGCTTTCCACATAAACCTCTGCAGTTTCCAGTCAGAAAGGCAAAAGATGAGCCTGTGTTGATTAAAAAGGCTGCGAAACTCTTTAGTTTTGCAACTAGCAAATGGCTCCAGCAGACAGAAAAGCATAAGCTATATGGCTTGCTTTATATTAATTATATTATGTTATGCTACACTACATTATGTTATATTATGTATTTTATTTTATTATTTTATGTGTGTACACATACAGATACTTATACAGATATATGTCTGTGAACAAATGAATGGTCAGCAAGATTCGGCAGGCCATGCACTGCTGCGTGAAATCAACAAGTTATGTCAGTGTAAAACACACCATTCGTGACAGGGAGATCAGATCACTGAAGCAGGTTTATATTTGGGAATTTGCTCCTTGTTCCTCTAGACTTTCTAATCAAAAGAGATCGGATGGGCCTATGTTTACTGATGCATACACAGCCCTTACATCTTCCTTCAAGTTATCCATTTCTTCAACAGGACCTTTAATTTTGTGGGGTTTGGCACCACAGCTGGTTAGTGGAACGCCCTTCCCACCGCTCTAGTTTGCAGATCTCAAGCACATGCAGTTTCAAACTACAGGGAGCAGCAAGAGGAGAACTGCACCAGTGAAATTCATTCCTACTCCAGGAACCTGCGACACAGTTCAGCTACCGACTGCTAGGTGGAACCTGAGCAAACAGTTCTTGTTAAGTGGATACAGAAAGCAGAATGAAAATTGTCATGGTCATTTCAATACTTTCTCTCACAACTGTTCTTCCTCTGTCTTTTCCAGGCACAGCCCTTCCAGCAGGTGCTTGTGACTGTCTTGCTTTGCTCTAAGAGAAGGAAGCAGTTGTCTTGAATGTTGTATGTGCAGGGAACAAAATAAGATGATATGGACCAGGGTTAGGAGGCTGGGTATCAGCTTCAAGAGTGCCAGGTGACAGTTCCCACTCTCAGAGCCTGCTTGGAGAGGTAAAAGGCTCCTTGAGTTCAGTCAGGAGTAGCTCAGAGACAGATGGGGTGAGCTTGGGTTGGCAAGTCTACATAGGCTGCTTTGCCTTGGGCCAGTCTCCGTGCCTCCCAAACAAAGGATTTCTGGTAATTCAGCATGCAGGGGACTGGAAGTTGGCTTGGAAGAATACAAGGGAGAAGAGAGGAGGGCTGCTTGGGGCCTTTCTGGGCTTTGCAAAACTACTTCCCCCATAGGGAACAGGTATTAACAAAGGTCCCACAAAACGGAGCCTGTTGAACTGAGCGGGAAAGGAAAACTGAGGGCATGGCAAAGAGTAACAGTAAGAGTACACATAGTACTGGAATTAAAATTGCTAGACTCAGGCAAGCTGGAAGCCTGAGAAAACTGGGGATCCGATGAAAGCTCTACCACGTAGGCTCATGGGTACTTCTGAAATAAACACACAGACAAAAGATCCAACAGCATGTGAACACCATGCTCTGCTCTGGGAGGTTACATGGGGTAATAACGGGGCTCTCCAGAGAGGGAGAACTCCTAGGAACTCGGGAGACAAAAGTCTGTCTAGCACTTGTGGGTTTTCAGTGGTTTTTCAAACAACATGGCAAAGAAATGCTATGTCATCTTCTTTTAAGTGATGCCTTTACAAACCTGATATTCTTTTTCCTGAGGTAAAGGACTAAAGTTGTGAGGGGTGGTGGCGCAGACCTTTCTTTGTCTGCTCTAAAACAAAAAAATCTGGCACGTGACATCTGCATATTCAAATGTAGTTTTAAAAGAGATGTACAGCAAAACAGGAAATAAGGTAAACAGTGATTGATTTTTTTCAGTTAACTCTCCCACCTATTTCCTCCTCCAGGCACATCTCTGGGCGACTTGATTTCACTTTCCGGGAAGACGTAATTCTCCTGAACATCCTTCAGTGCTTCCTTCTTGGCAAGAAGATCTTGTGCCTCCTAAGAAAACAATTACATGAAATCAGAGGAAAAATGGTTTTGAAGCTTGTGATTGTCACACCAGCTAGCCTAACATGGACTTCAGATCTGAAAAACAAAAACTTCATTCATATTTTGATCATTGTGCCAAAGGAACTGCAAATGCTTTATAAGTTGGGCTCCCTATAATATTGATTTTATGAGCCAAACAGGATGGTGTCCCTGTGAATTGCAGTCTTTCAAAAGTGGTCCTACATTAATTAAATCCTAAAGTTCAGCTGTTTGCCATTAGTTTCTCAGGTAAGCGTGTCTGTATTTGTCATTTAAGTAATGGCAAGATCATTTATAATCAATAGTCACTGCAGTTAAACACAGTGAAAAGAAGATAAATAGAGCTAATGTTTTGGGTCTGACTTGATTGTACCAGGTTGGAAGTTCTCTTGTACCTACATACACACAGAAAGGAAGTTCCTAAAATAAC